GCATTATTTGGCCTTGGATCCGTGCATGAAACTCCAGCTGCTGCCAGAGGAAGCTGTGTGTGCCCACCCAGGGCTGTGAACCATGCCAGGAAGGGCTGAGGAGGAGCTCATGTATAAGTGGAGTGTGGAGGTTTTTTTGACACTGGCTATAATAAATATCAGCACATTTAGAAAAAAAATAAATTGTGGGCTTAAAGGGAGAAAAGAAGTTACAGCTGAGTGTGGTTCACTAGAAGGAAATACCGAAGGCTGTTGAAACATTAGATAAAAAACTGATCTTGAAATGTCAGTGAGTATAACAACTGTCAATTTTGCCCAATAAAATCTCCCTTTTATTTAGCCTACTTTTCTCTTTTATTTTTAATAGCTACCATTAAAAATGCTGCACTTACAATTTGCTGGTATTTGCTGTTCTGTTTTAATGCTGTCTATTAGTCCTTCCCTCCTTTCCTTTTAATATTTACACATATCATCAAATGCTGGGCAAAATTTTTCTGCTGGAAAAAACAAATCCCAGGAGTGTAAACCAATTACAAATAACTTGTTACTGAGGGCATGGCTGGGCTTTCTGTGCTGCTCCAGTGTCCCATTGAGTTTCAAGTAGCTGAGGACACTTTTATATTATAAATAATCCATGTTAATTTCATTAGGTGTATTTTTATTTCTTAACTTCATCAGAAAATAGCATAATTGTCATGAAAAAAAAAAAATCAAGTTATGCCTTAATAAATAACTATTAATGAGAGAGGGCTAAGAAAAAATTGTGGCCAGGAGCATCAGTTTGACATAAGCTACTCCATCCTGAAGGATTCCAGCAGGAAAAGCCCGGTTTAAAATTCTTACACTTCCTCCATTTCATGTGCACCCAGCAATGCTTATGCAGCTCAGATAATCCGTGCCTGTACTTTATATATGGCGTGGCAAATGCCAGCAGTGTATGGAAAACAGGATCCAGCCTGCAGCAGAGCAGCCAGAACGGGATGAAGGGAGCTCAGCAGCACCTGAGCCTTGGGCTGAGCTCTGCCAGTGCAAACAGCACCCTCCAGCAGTCAGGGAACCTCTGCAGTGGCTTGAGGGGGACAGCAGCACCCCTGCACCCAAATGGGGACCCCTTGCAGTGACCCCCAACAGCAAGAGAGGTCGTGGTCACTAAAACAGCCCTGGGACAATGTGACAGAGATTACTTAACAGAAACTTCTTCCAGAGAAGGGCTAAAGGTAAATTCCAGCTGATGATTCTGTTTCTCTGCCCGTGTTTGATAAATTAATTAAGGAACACAAAGGGAATAAGAAAAGTGTAGCCTCATAAACTGCTTCACTAACTGCTGCACAGAGAAGACTCTCAATTCTCATTTTCCTCTATCAACATTTTCAAAAACACTAACATTTCTTCTCCTTGTTAAGTAATTTCTAGTATAGAATCCCAAGAATATTTGGAAGGGAGAGGGGAACCTCAATGCTGAATATGAAGACACTGTGCAATATGGAAATCTCATGGGGACAAGGAGAGGGGTCATCAGGGCAGGGAAGGAGGTTAAGCTGAGCGGTGAGCCCAGTCTAATGGCATGAGCCTCTTGCAGCCCGTGCAGCTGGGAGTGTTTCTGCCCAGGGCCACTCTCTGTGTGCTGGAGAGCTTAGCTCTGTGTCCTGCACAGCCCAGCACCCTGGCCTTCCCGAAATTCCAGGATTCCCATCTTCCACTGAGGAACACGGCAGGGAGAGCCATGGGATATTCCTTCTGAGCCCTGGGCCTGCTCCTGGAGCATGGGGCTGGCAGCTCTGCCAGCCAGGAGATCCCAGCAGGGATCAGTGATCCCAGCAGGGATCAGCACACCCTGCTGGACATCCCCTGCCACCCTGGGCTTCCCACAGCTTCCCTGCCCCACAGCTGGCAGCTGGAGGCCATCCCTGGCTGCCCAGCAGGGATTTTGGGCAGAACTGCAGCTGGAGCTGTGTCTGAACCCTTCCAACACTCGGACCCAGCACCCCAAACTACTCCTGACCTTAACAACCCCAGCGAGCTCCCATTTGCAATAATTACAGCAGAGCTTCCCTCCCCCTTGCACTCTTTATTGCTTTTGCCCTTGCCATGGATTGCTGGGGACAGAGAGACTATTAAAGCTCAGAATATTTCTTTCTGGACAGTCAGGGCGAGCTTTGGGAGAAAACTCCCTCTTTTCTCTCCACCCCTGGCACTTCTGCTGGGAAGGGGAGGGAAGGGCAGGGAGGGGAAGGGGATGGTTCCCACTGCAGGCTGCTGGAGCACTCCGTGCCTGCTGAGCAGCGACTGCAGCAGGGGAACGCTCTCCTCTGGTGGAAACAGAGCCTTGTAAGGATATTTCTGCAAGGTACAATAATTGCCCAAGCAGCCACCTTTAAGCTGGGTCTCCCTCCCTTATTCTCACGATAAGGAGGGGAAAGGTGCATTTCAGTGATGACAGCTGAGGCTGGCAAGAGGCAGCCAAAGGGCACCTGCCAGCTCCCACCCTGCTGACAGCACCCCCCCAGCTCCAGGATGGGCTTTGGCAAGGAGATGGCTCGCTTGCCAATAATAATAATTATCATTAATAACCGAGTGACGTCCTAATCTTGGTTACATCAGCCGTACCCTTCCCCGGAGCTGCTGCCAGTCACACTCACACCGGCCTCCGAGCAGAGACAAGTGCCGGGAGCTGCTGTGGCTGGAGGGAGACGCAGGGGATGGCCCGCGGTGACTTCTGCCTGCTGGCTGAGGGGACAAGGGGACACGGCCTGGACAAACCCTGCAAGAGCCGCCTTTCTGTGTCGATTTGAGTCTCTCAGCCCTCTGGGGGGCATAAAGGATGGGAAGGGAGGTGCGGGGCCGTCCCCTCCCTCCTCCTCCTCCTCCCTCGGGGCATCCCGCGGGGCTGTCCCAGTGTCACAGCGGGGCAGGGGCACAGGGGTGTCCGTGTGTCCCGCGGCGGGATGTCCGTCCGTCCATCCCCGCAGCGCTCCCCGCTCCGCATCCCAGGTCCATCCCTGCCCTCTGCCAGCCCCTCCGCACAACCCGACGGCAGCAGCCCAGGCGAGGAGAACGAGCGATATTGGGGGGCATTTGGGGAAGATGCAAGGTCAGGGCTCCCCCCGAGCACCCCGACCCTGCCCCACGAGGGGCATCCATGGGGAAAGGGGCGCTGCCCCCCAAACCCAGCGGGGTTTGCTGCCTCAGGTCGCTTTCCTGAGTTGCTGCCAAGCCCGCCGCGCGAGCTTGTTGCGAGAACAAACTGTTGTGATTCCCCCTTTGGGCCTTTTTCCCCGCCTCCCCCCCATTCCGAACGGGGGGTGTCAGTGCTCGGAGCCTGCCGAACCCCATGTCGCTCCCGCGTCAGAAAATGAATGATGCAGCAATTTAATTAGGAGGGAGCGGTGCGTCCATATTGCACCGGTGGAGGAGAGCTCGGCAGCCGGGCGAAGATGCCGCGCGTCCGCGGGCGCGGAGGCTGCGCCCCTGCCCGCGCAGAGCGGCCCCGGGACCCCGCGGAGCCCCCGGCACCTCCCGCCCGCACCCGCGGCTCTGCCCCTGAACTTTTCTCTCCCGAGCCGCGGTTCCAGTTAAGTCTCTCCCGGCCGAGCCACCGCGGGGTGCGGGAGGGGGATCCGCGAGTTCCGCGGGGATCCGCGCGGATGCGTGCGCGGGGCCGGGCGGGCGCGGACAGCGGGGATGCGCGGAGCAGCGCGGGGCTCGCCCCCTGCCCTGCCCGCAGCCCTTCCCTCCCGGCTGGCCGAGCCCCGGGGCAGGCAGAGCCCGCAGCCCCCCGAGCCCCCTGCGCACATCACCCACCAACTTTCACCCGCTGCGCCCCCTCCGCGGATGCGCCGCGCCCCGCGCAGCCCTGTTACCTGCGGCCCCTCCGCCTCCGCGCACACGCCGGGAGGATGCGGGAGGTGCCGGGAGTCTCCCCGAGGTGCTTGGCTCTGCGGGAAGCTGCGGGATCCCGGCGAGGCTCGGGGCGGGAGCGGCCCCGGGACGGGCGGGCAGCACCGAGCGGAGGATGCGCGGCAGCGGGACCCCCGGGATGCTGGGACCCCCGGGCTGCTCCCCGCCGCATCCCTCGGCTGGCACTCGCAGTCATAGCAGCTTTGATTTCCTCCCGACTTGGGCTTTTTGTTCCCTGTTTTCCCCGTTTTTTTGCTTTTTTTTGGAAAGGGGAGTGGGGGGTGAGTGCAAATTCTGCCCCATCCCGGCGGCTTTTTTCCCTCTCTGATTCCTCTTTTTCCTCCCCCCTCTGCCCGTTTCCCACTTCCCATCCTCTCCGCCAACCAGCCCCCTCCTTCCCTCTTAAAAAAAAAAAAAAAAAAAAAAAAAACAGGCAAGGGAAAAAAAATGTGTAGTCAGGGCTTCCCAAATGCGCGCCCCCGACCTGGAGCCGAGCGCGCCCCCTCCGTTTGTTCCCCTTCTTGAAGCTGATTTTCATGACGTGGAGGAGCCTGATCCAGGGCAGGAGCGGCAGCGCACACACACACACACACACGCACACACACACACACACACACACTCTCTCCTACGCGCACGGCCCCGCAGCGCCCCGCACCCCGCGCAGCGCCGCGCACGCAGCGCACCCGCGCTCGCCGCCGCGCCCGCTCCGCGCTGCCGCTGCTGCCCGGAGAAGGCGGCGGCGGCGCTGGAGCCTGCAGCAGCCCCTCTCCTCCCTCCTCCATTGAGTGTGCCAAACAGCAGCTCTGCATCCTAAAAAGGATCATTGAGGGGCTCATTGCATTCCCAGCACGTTTCAGGCTTGCTTCTTTTTTTTTTTTTTTCCCTCTCCTTTTTTTTTTCTCTTTTTTTTTTTCCTTTTGCCTCAGCTTCAGCAGGAGTAGAGAGAGAGGGAGAGAGAGCCACAGAGAGGGAGAGGCAGAGACAAACCAGTAATCTTTAAACTCGAGCTTTCTTTTTTTCCCCCTTCCTTTCTTTTGCCCTTTTTTTTTTTTTTTTTTTTTTTGGTAACGATGTGCTAAAATCTCTCCTGCAAACCGGTAAGTACAACCTTTCTGGATCCTTTTGTTTCCGCCTAGGGTCAAAGACACCCCCCTCTTCCAAAAAGAAGATATAATAATCCTCTTTATTTATTTTTTTATTTTTATTACAGCCCTTGCAGAAGAGAAAGAACTTAAGTGGCTAATATTTTGCAAAGGAGACAGAGAGATTGATACTGCAATATAGCTCTCGTCTCTCTCCCTTCTCCCCAGTTAGATGCTGGTTTTAATTGCAGAGGGTATTTCTCTTTTCGTGCTTTCAACCATCTCCTCTTTCCCACAGGGGAGGGTTTCATTTGCAAGTTGATCCTAAGGATTTCTGTTCCTCTGGCATTTCTCTCCCTTAAATGCATCTTTCTGCTCTTAAGTTTACGGATGGGGGGCAATTTTTTCTAGTTCTTACACGAGGAAGGCAAAAAGGACCTTTTTATTGGGAGATTGAGACTAAAAGCAATGATCACTCCGAATCATTCTAATGGGCATTTCAGGGATTCAAGGAAGGCTGCATCACCACTGCTATTATTCCCATCCTTAGCGTTTCCCTGTGCCCATACATTTAAAATATCTGGTGAAAGGAAGGGTGAAACCATATGTTGAAGGAGCTGCATCTCATTAGGGCAGTATTATTTTCATCTGATTGGAGAAGAATGGTGTCTTCATTCGGAATCGTGTATAGTAGGATAGAGAATTTATCGGCTGGTAAGTGTCAAGGTATTTTTTTTTTCTTCCACTTTCAGCTTTTTAACCGGGTCTCCTGCTTGGTCCTGGGGGCACAAAATGCCCTAATCCAAGGCAGGCTGAGCGTTTCAATCCTAGGTGCCTCTTCAGCTGTCACTTCCCTTTAGATCTGCTGATCGCATGGGCATGTGCTTTAGAAAGATTAATCATCTCTAAATGCTTTAATCAGCTAAAATGACTAATATGTGGTGTGTATTTATCTGATAATATACCAGTTGCATTAATTCACCGGCGCATTTGCGAGGGGAAGATTTCCTTCCCAATCGGGGTCGTTAACCATTTGCTCCGGTGAAGATGCCGTGGGGGTTTCTGAGGGGAGCCGTTCTGCCAGGGAGATCAGCACAGCTCGCACATTCCCTGGAACTCGCGTGTGGAACACATCGAGCCGGGAGGGAGGGAGATCGGAGGGCGGAGGTTCAATAACTTTGGGAGTTTGCATGGATGAAGGACGTGGTGCGACACTGGGGAAATGTGCCCACACTTGGTGTGTTTTCCCCCCCCGGAGTCGAGGCGGGCTGTGATGGCTCCCGGGCTAAAATTGCACCCGGGGATGAGATCCGGGCAGTTCCGAAGCCTGGCAAACGTGGAGAGACGCAACACGTTCGGTGTGCTCGTGGTGCCGTGTGGGGCTGCATGTGCTGTCCTCTTTATAGGTGGCATTTACCACGGGGAGGGGAGCGAGGCAGGCTGCTATCGCGTGATGGAGCCCTCTAACATCTCTCAAGTATAAATCAGGGCAAGGCTCGCCCAGCCGACACCCCTGGAGTTGGTTGGGAACGTCTGCCCAACAATTGCTGAACTTTCCAGGAGCCCGACATGAGTCCAGCAGGTAGGGGCTTAGGAAAAGGAGAGGGGCAGGGCAGGAATACTGAAATCTGTGTTTCTCTTCCCGTTGCAGTTTTGTAAACATCAACAAATGATGAAACCTTCCACGGCAGAGACGCTTCATAAAGGAAGGATGTTGTGGATAATTCTTCTAAGCACAATTGCTCTAGCATGGACTACACCTATTCCCTTGATAGAGGACTCGGAGGAACTGGATGAGCCCTGCTTTGATCCATGTTACTGTGAAGTGAAGGAGAGCCTTTTCCATATACATTGTGACAACAAGGGATTTATAAATATTAGTCAAATAACAGAGTCATGGTCGAGACCTTTTAAACTTTATCTGCAGAGGAATTCCATGAGGAAATTGTACACCAACAGTTTTCTTCACTTGAACAATGCTGTGTCTATTAACCTTGGGAACAATGCACTGCAGGACATTCAGACGGGGGCTTTTAACGGGCTCCGAGTTCTGAAGAGGTTGTATTTGCACGAAAACAAATTGGACATTTTCAGGAACGACACTTTCCTGGGTTTGGAAAGTCTGGAATATCTGCAGGCAGATTACAATGTCATTAAACGGATTGAAAGCGGGGCATTTCGAAACCTAAGCAAATTGAGGGTCCTTATCCTAAATGACAATCTTATCCCCATGCTTCCCACCAATTTATTTAAGTCTGTGTCCTTAACCCACTTGGACTTGCGGGGGAACCGCCTCAAAGTCCTTTCGTACCGCGGGATGTTGGACCACATTGGCAGGAGCCTGATGGAGATCCAGCTGGAGGAGAACCCGTGGAACTGTACGTGCGAGATTGTGCAGCTCAAGAGCTGGCTGGAGCGCATCCCCTACACCGCTCTGGTGGGGGACATCACCTGCGAGACCCCCTTCCACTTCCACGGGAAGGACCTGCGGGAAATCAAGAGAAGCAAGCTCTGCCCCATGCTGTCCGACTCCGAGGTGGAAGCCAGCCTGGGCATCCCTCAGCTGTCCTCCAGCAAGGAGAACGCGTGGCCTACGAAGCCTTCCTCCATGCTGTCCTCCTTCCATTTCACCGCTTCCTCCGTTGAGTACAAAACGTCCAACAAGCAGCCCAAGCCCACCAAGCAGCCCCGGGCGCCCCGGCCTCCCCCGACCCCCCGTGGCCTGTACCCCGGGCCCAACCAACCTCCCGTGGCTGCCTACCAGACCCGGCCCCCCATCCCCATCATCTGCCCCACCGGCTGCTCTTGCAGTTTGCACATCAACGACCTGGGCCTGACGGTCAACTGCAAGGAGCGGGGATTCCACAACATCTCCGAGCTCCTGCCCAGGCCCTTGAACGCCAAGAAGCTGTATCTGAGCGGGAATTTGATCCAGAAAATCTACCGCTCCGATTTCTGGAATTTTTCCTCCTTGGATCTCTTACACCTGGGGAACAACCGGATCTCCTACGTGCAGGACGGGGCGTTCATCAACCTGCCGAACCTCAAGAGCCTGTACCTGAACGGGAACGACATCGAGCGGCTCACCCCGGGCATGTTCCGGGGCCTGCAGAGTTTGCATTATCTGTACTTTGAGTACAACCTGATCAGGGAAATCCAGCCGGCGGCCTTCAGCCTCATGCCCAACCTGAAGCTCCTCTTCCTCAACGACAACCTGCTCCGCACGCTGCCCACCGACGCCTTCGCCGGCACCTCCCTGGCGCGCCTCAACCTGCGCAACAACCACTTCTTGGCGCTGCCGGTGGCCGGGGTGCTGGAGCACCTGCACGCCATCGTGCAGATCGACCTGAAGCTCAACCCCTGGGACTGCACCTGCGAGCTGGTGCCGCTGAAGCAGTGGCTGGAGGCGCTCAGCTCCGTCAGCGTGGTGGGCGAGGTGCTGTGCGCCAGCCCCGAGCCGCTGGCCCNCCGCCACCGGCGCGGCCGCCTACGAGCTGCCCCCGGCCGCCGCGGCCGCGGCCGTGCCGCTCTCCGTGCTCATCCTCAGCCTCCTCGTCCTCTTCTTCTCCGCCGTGCTGGTGGCCGCCGGGCTCTTCGCCTTCGTGCTGCGCCGCCGCCGGCGGAAGCTGCCGTTCCGCGGCCCGCGGGCGGAGGCGGCGGACCTGGGCGCGGTGCCGCTGCGCTGCCCGCGGCTCTTCCCCGAGGGCGGCGGCGGCGGCGGCGGGGGCGGCGGCGGCGGGGGGTGCCCCGGGGAGCGGTCCCCGGAGAAGGCGCCCCCGGCGGGCCACGTCTACGACTACATCCCGCACCCGGTGACCCAGATGTGCAACAACCCCATCTACAAGCCGCGGGAGGAGGAAGAGGCGGCGTGCGGCGGCGGCGGCGAGGCGGCCGAGCTGCTGCGGGGCGGCGGCGAGCGCGGCTTCGCCCACCCCGCCGCCCCCGCCGCCGCGCCGGAGCCGGGCAGCAGCTACCGCACCTTGCTGGAGAAGGAGCAGGAGTGGAGCCTGGCCGTGTCCAGCTCGCAGCTCAACACCATCGTGGCCGTGCACCCCCAGCACCCCGCGGGCGGAGGGCTGGCGGCGGGCGCGCTCGGGGCGGCGGCGGCGGCGGCGGGGGGAGCCCCGCGGGACCGCGACCGCCCGCCGCCCTGCGCCGTGGGGTTCGTGGACTGCCTGTACGGCACCGTGCCCAAGCTGAAGGAACTGCACGTCCACCCCCCCGGCATGCAATACCCGGACCTGCAGCAGGACGCCAGGCTGAAGGAGACCCTGCTCTTCGCGGCCGGCAAGGGCTTCCCGGACCACCAAACCCCCACAAGCGAATACCTCGAGTTAAGGGCCAAACTCCAAACCAAGCCGGATTACCTCGAAGTCCTGGAGAAGACCACGTACCGGTTCTGACCGCCGCCCCGCCGCCCGCCCGGCCCCGCCGCCCGCGAGCAGAGGATACAGCTGTGCGCTCTGCCCCGCCAGATGTGCGCGCTGCGGGGCAGGGCCCTTCTCAGATCAGTAATCGACGAAGTGCCTTCGCAGACTTTTGCCAGCAGATGTTAATCAATCATTATTTTTTATACTGAAACTGAGACTTTGACTGTGCCATGTCTAAAGGTATATTATTATTATTATTATATTATTATTATTATCGGGGATCTTTGTATTGATCCTGATCAAGTAAATTCTATGTGTGTCTCTTTCTCTCTTTTTTCTTTTCCCTGTTCTTTTGTTTTCTTTATTCTTGTTGTTTGTTTTGTTCGTTGGCTCTTTTTTTTTTCCTTTTTTTTTTTCTTTTTCTTTGGCAGTAAACTTACTTGATACTTTCCCTTGGAGGGGAGGGGGAGGGAAGATGGCATTTTCTGGCCTGCTTTCTTCTTGCCCATCATGGCACAGATTCTGTACATTTATTTAAAAGAGGAAAAAAAAAATAATGCAAAGAAGCAAACGAGCGCAGTTTGCTGCATGCCTGGAAACTGCAAGAGGGAAGGGAGGGGAGGGTCTTGCTCGAATGTCTCACTCTTGTCTCTCTCCCTCCCTCGCACGCACACTCCTCACCCGCACCCTCCGCCAGCCCAGCCCCTGCAGGGGGGCTCGGGGGCCGCGGGGGGAATCCCGGGGGCAGTCCCGGGGGCTGGGGGAAGCCACCCGGAGCCGAGCAGCCCAAAGGATGTCACCACGTGGCGCACACACCTAGGGGATGCTCAGTGACACTTCATCATGACGCCATGGGGTTTTTTTTTGGTTTTTTTTTTTTGGTTTTTTTTTTTTTTGGAGGACATCCGCACTTTCCTAATAAAAGCGACATGCAAATATACAGAGAAAAAAAAAAAAAAAAGGAAAAAAAAAGCTAATGGGCACCTCTCACTAACAGCTTTGTAGGAAGCACTTTTAATGTTTTCTCTCATGCACCCATACACGCACACACGCACACACACACAAAGGTACAACAATGTGCATATATTTATTCTGTAATTTCAAGTGAATATAAATTGTAAAGGTAATGTTAAATCATTGTACAGTGATGCGTCTGGTATAGCTTTCCTAATAAAACGTTTTGAAAAAAATTGCAGATATATATATATATATATATACGGCCCCAAATATATATATATATATAGGAATACAAAGCTTGAACCTGAAACTTCAGCTTCCTCCACAGAGATTTCCTTCCCCCCCCCCAAAACCTTGAACGCTATTTTATTAATAACAGTTCGATGCACTGTGATGTTAACAGAGAAAAAAAACAACCCTGTACAGCGTCTCTTGCCAAGATACCACCCGAGACTGCCACAAATCCGATTTGCGATCTGTATCCCTGCCGCACTGTCCTGACAGTTAAAAATATCGGGAAAATTGGGAGCGCATCCCGCCGGAGCGCTGCTTCCCGGCCTGCTGGAGGCACCGGGGGGCATCGCAGGGATGTTGCCGGTGCTGGCAGCGGGGTGAGCACTCAAAGAGCTCCCACCCCTCCGGATTAAACCGCATTTCCAGTTTGGAATGGGGGGATGCCATCTGGGAAAGCAAAGCATCCCAGCGGGCGCGCCGCTCCTTCTCCCGCTCCCGCTGCAGCCGGAGGGAGACCAAAGACCATGGGATTTCTCTGCCCGGGCGGGTCCCGGTTGGTATCTTGTCCACTTTGGTGTCTTGTCCCCGGCGGTGTCCCTCTGTCCCGTGTCCCTCTGTCCCGCCGCTGTTGTGTCCCCGCGGCTCCCGGCCCCTCGCGGCCGCCAGGTGGCGCCCCAGCCCCAGCGCTGAGGGGCGGCGGCGGGGCCGGAGCGCCCGGGCTCGATCCGTGCTCGATCCATGCTCGATCCATGCTCCATCCCGGGGTTGATCCCGGGGTTGATCCCGGACCCGGCCCTGGGCTCGATCCTGGATTCCATCCCGGGCTGGAGCCGCTCCCGACGCCGCTCCCTGTCCCTGTCCGCCCCGCCGAATGAACCCCGCGGGCGCCTCACCCAGGGGCGGGCGGGGCCGCCAAGGGCAGCCCCCTCAGCCGGGCGCTGCCCTGAGGGCACTCAGAGAGTGGGGTCAATCCAGAAATCCCCCATGTGTCCATCAGCACCATTTGTCTGAACAGCGGTCAGGGTGGTTTATCCGGGTGAATCGAGGTTATTCCCCCAAAGGTGCTGCTGGGAGCGCTCCTGCCGCTGTCCCGAGGGGACCGGGGTCTGTCGCCTCCTGGCAAAGGGTCACATTGCCAAGGTCACCCTCCCCACCATCTGCTCTTCCTTGGGGAACAGCTCGGTTTCACCCCGCACAATGTGTTTTAACAGAGATAAACCCATAAATAACTTGTTGTCCCCACAATGTCGCTATTTACAGCTCTGGGCAGGATGCTCGTGGTGAGCTTTTTCTCTTGGAGAGTCGTTTCCCCAGCCTTGGTAGCAGCTGTGTGTGTCTGGAGATGGAGGGACAGCTCCGAACCTCTGTAAATCTGGCATCACCCTCCATGCTATCAGTAAAATTATTACACATTGCAATTTCCCCTGTTGAGTTGAGATTGTGTTTCCTCACTGCTGCCTTCAGCTCTGACCCGTTGGGGTTTGCTCATTTGTTTGTTTTGTGAGTTTTTAATAGATAGTGGAAGAGCATGCACGTGCTAAGAGTATTAAACATGCAAGTGCAAAGGCCAGATCCTTCTTATCATAATTGTAATAATTACATTGATAAGCCTACATGCAAGTGATGCGTGGAGCTGTATAAATCAGGTTAAAGTACAACCCCCAGTGAGAGTGGTGCTGTATACATTTGGCAATGTCCTCAAAGCCCCAAGCGTTCATACTTGTATCCAAATAGAGTAAAGCCGGTTGCAAATAATGTTTATATTTTAATTAAACTGCAGAAAGGCAAGAGAACTTCATCCTTACTATAGGCAGTAATCTCACCTGTGGACGGTGAGCAGATCTATTTATTCAGTGGAAATAAATTTGTTCTATGAGAATGGAATTTTGTATTAAAAGAGATAATTTTTGGCTTACATTGAGTTATTTTTCTTTCCTTGCGTAGGAAACTTCCTTTCCCTTGTGTACTGAGATGATTTGGGGATGATTTGCTCTGGAAGTGTTGACAATGTCTAAGTGTGATGTCTAAAGGGTGTTTTGATGAGTTTAGTTTGCTTTTTCATTGTGTTGAACTGAGGCTGAGTGGGTAGCAGCATTCCTTTCCCACTGCAGGAAAGAAAGTGGATCCATCAACTCTGACCTGCAGTGGGTGACACTGCATGCTCCAACCCAGGTTCCTCCTAATTAATAGAGAGTATTAATGATAATTCTGTCTTTATCAGCAGTAGCATGGGTAGCATTAATGCTACTGGGAAGGAATCAAATAAAGTCAAATGATCTGCAGTTGCATTAGAGCTGCTTGATGGGATGCTATGTGAAATAAATATTTTTTAGCTGACTTCATGGTTTAGCTGATTTCACCTGGTGTCAGCCTAAGCAGCTCAGCCTGTGGTAGTAAACCTTCAGCAAGTGTTTGGTTTATTCCCTCACTGACCATTGAAATTCTTCCTACAGGTGGAAAAGAACAGCAAGGCCAGGTAAGCCCCAGTCCCAGCCAACAGCTGCACACAGGGAAATGGAAAGGATGATCCTGGTGCTCAATTATTGGTGCTTTTTTGTATTTTCTGGATGTTGTCATTGATGTCACCATCACATTGTACCCTAGGTTAAAAAATTTGTTTGGAAATGGCTTCATGGATCTCTTGAGTGTATCAACAGCGATAGAAAGATGTCAAATGTTATGGTATGAGTAATAATGTGAATTTTGGAAGGTCTGTTGCCTACTGCTTTCGAGTGTTATTGGAGAGTGAGAATCTCATTTCTTAGGAGCTTCAGTGAACATGAGTTAAGCTGTGGCATTTCCAGATTTTGCCTTTCTAGACAAAACCACCTTTGAGTGTGGCAGCACAGCTGATTTGGTTTTAAGCTAGAAATGCGTGGACTTGTCCAACTTGTTCTCGGAGAATTTTGAGAGGAGGGAAAGGTCCCTCCAAAATGTGAGGCTGTTCTCCTGAAGCACTTGGGTGTGCCAGCAGCACTTGTTGATCGCTGTGCTGCTTCCACTTGCTTCAAGCATCCACTTCACACGAAGAAGATGTGATGGTTTGGGTTGAGGTTTAACAGAAGTGTTCACGTGAAGAGCAGCATGTAGAATTTGGCCCTAAGTGTGGGAGTTCATTGCTTAGGACATTGCTTTACCATGGGTGCGACTCCGGGCAGCGCTCCAGCCACCCCGGGGTGAACTTGTTCCTGGATTGCCCTTCTTCCAAAGGCACTCGCTTTTACAACGTGGATTTATGGACACTGGGAAATCAGGCTGCTCTGTGCTGCACATTCCTACTTTCTGAGTTTTTCCAAGGCTTGGTTTTCAATCTGCAGCTGAGGTTCTCAGTGAACTTATGTATGTATGTATTTGTGTGTACCCAATTATGTGTTTGTGTTGTACACAGTACAACACCGTTTTTCTCCATGGGGGGAATGCACATCGACCCAGGAGGTAGCTCACAACAGCTCTTTGTACAAAAAATCCTATTTTTTAATTCTGGTGTGAGTGGAAATGCATTTTCTTTTTCCAGTTCTTGAAATATTTCTTGTTTGATTGGGCAGTAGAAGGAATCAGAATGTGCTTGGAACAAACCCTTGAGTGGGAATGGAGCGGAGGCCCAATTCTGCTCCCTTGGAAGCCAATGTTGAGACACCACATTATGCTCAGTTTTAGTCAACAGACTTGAATGAAGAGCAAAATCTGATCTCAGAAAATTACAGCATCTATTAAGTGGATTCAAGTATTTTGAGACAAGTACTCCATGGGACTGTTTCAGAATAAAATGAGTAATGGTACAGAGGAAATGGGTTTGCCATCAATTCAGTGATTCTTTGACTGACCTCGCTCACAAATTAACTGAACAATCTTTAAGGCTTTTGATTTTAAAGACAAATTTGCTTAGCTCTAATGTCATTGGTGACCAACTAGCCAAGAAGATTACTAATGTAACAATTGCAAATTATTTGGAAATAGTTTATTAGTATTCCTTTTTCTCTTTGAGGGCAAGAATATGGAGGTCCCTTCCAACACAGGGCATCTGTGTTTCTGTGATTGACAGGCTCTGACAACCGTATTTCCTACAACTTCTTTAAAATGCCTTTTCCTTGATCCTTGTAGTTTCCCAGTTGTAAAATTCTGTCCTTATCACATTTTTGTTCAGGGTGTTGGGGCAGTTTGGCAGATTTCTATGAAACTGTTGACTTTGCTTAGAGAGCAAAGCACAGAGTTCCCCGGGAGGCTGCTGGGGTGACACTTGTAGGTTACTTTTGATCTCTGTGGAAAGATACATAAACCTTTGGTTTTGTATTTGGAAACACTTCCTTGTGGTGGCATTTGCTCTGCTAAATCGTTCAGTATTGTGTTTTTCAGGATGGTGTCAGATGGATAATTTTTGTGGGAAAATGAGAGGAAAAGGCTCAAAGAGCAGAGCTGTAGGAATGCCCATATTCATGCTGGGTGGGCTCTGTAGGGTGGGTGCTGCATCAATCCTGATATTTTTGAATGTTAATGGTGTTGATCTGGAGTGTAGGGTTTTTAGGCATTATTTAGAGGTGTGGACATGCAAGACTCAGCTGTTGGGTGCCTTAAAAAGACGAGATACGAACAGAGGGCAGAGCAAATATAAAATATCCACAACCAAGTCCTATGTCCTATCCTGAATCTTTAATGTCCATTTACTTTACTTTTTCCACTAGAAATTTCTAAATCTCTCAA